CAGGCCCAGCCCCCTCCCCTCTGCCAGGCCTCCCGTCGCCCCTGGCAGCCCCCACGGCCCCCTGGCTGGGCTGGTTCCCGTTTAAATATTAGTTTTAATTCAAAATGTCAAACAAAACCCAAAAGCGACCAGAGAAGAAGTGTAAGGAGCTAAAGGGCTGGGCAGGCAATGTGGTGGAAAGGAGGCTCAGAGGAGCTGCCTCCAGTGCAGGAGGGGAACGTGTATTGGGCACATTCCGTGTGCCCAGAGGGTTGCTCTGCTCCTGCCTTCTGAGCAAAGGAGAAAACAACACCTGTCCATAAAGGACCAGCCTTAAATTCCCAGCGTTAACTTGCTGGTGCCTCAGAGGGCCACACATTTAGTGTGAGGGTGGTGAGAGCCTGGAACAGGTGGCCCAAGGAAGCTGTGGCTGCCCCATCCCTGTCAGTGTTGAAGGGCAGGTTGGATGGGGCTTGGAGCAGCCTGGGCTGGTGGGAGGGGTCCCTGCCCATGTGGGGGGGGTAGGACTAGATGGTCTTTAAGGTCCCTTCCAACCCAAACCAGTCTGTGATTCTGTAAAATACATCCCCAAAGCTCAGGAGAATAAATAGCAGATGCTGGATCCTGCTGTCTTTCCAACAGACCCTTTGCTGTGCTGCCTGAACAGCCTGACCACTGATGTAGTTGCAACATCCATCCCATTCCCAGTCCCCTCATGTGGAACAAACTCCTCTGGGTTCCACAGCAGTAAAGCTGCCAGGTTCACCCCGAGTTACTCTCCTGAATTCTACTGTAAGATTTCATACATTATCACTCATGCTGACTTCATGAAACTAAAATTGAAACATAAACCTCATGTGTGATGTGCCTGTACTTTAGTGGTAAGAAAATGCTGCTTTGCTGCTAATTACCATGTGAGCAGAGCTGTCAGTCTGCAGCACCTGGTAGCTGCAGTCTCTGAAGACTTAATCAGCATCTAACTTTTCTTCTTGCTGCTGATGCAGCCAGAGACAACAACAAACGAGAGGGATCTAAGATTTAATTCCCAGCAGCACCCAAACAACTCCCAGGATCACACTGACCCAGAGGTCTAACAATAACCATGCTCTGGTGCTGATGATTTAAAAAGGAAGTAAGTTTTGGGTTGGGCCAAGCCTGGCCCAGAAATCAACACCTTTCCACCCCAGTTGCTGCTCTGATCTGCTACTTGTAGTTAGTTTTACCTTGTTTCTTAGTGTTTTCACTGGGGACTGTTTCCTCAGTGAGAGGAAATTGAATGCCAGGTAGAAAACAACCCAGAAATACGCTGTAAAAATGTAACTGGACTTTTATGGCCTGTCTGATAAAGGTGACAATTTCCCTGCTGGTCTATTCTGCTGTTCTCCTTGGTTTTAGGATATTTGTTATTTTGCTTCTCTGAGGCCTAGAATTACTTCTGCTAAAAATCCTGAATTCCATATGGAGGAAGATCTAGTTTATAATAGAAAAGGGAAGGGGAATGAACATTTATACATCTATTTCTTGTCACAGAACAGAAGGAAAATGAACCAACTGCAGGATTTGCTGAATTACAGTCTTATCAGAACAAAGCATGTAGAGAATGCTGCCATCATCAGCATAGAGGAAAAGAAAGTCTTGGCATCGACCTTTGGCTTTCATGTAAGAGACCAAAGAACATCCTGGGAAGTGACAGCAGAGGTAGAACCGCTGGGAATCCAGAGCACAAAGCAGTGGTGACAGCAGGGAGTGCTGCCCTCTGTGAAGTAAACACCCTTGCTGCTTTCAGGCTGGGAGCCCGAGGCACAGGGGGACAGCCTGCCTGCTGTGCTGAGAGGCTGGCCTGAAGCTGGTGGCCAATTTCACATCCCTAATCTTTGGAAGAAAATGTCATTTAGTTGCCATTTTGCAGGAGTCCTTGGCACTCAGTGATTCCACCAGTAACGCAGCAGTTGGGAGGTGGGCTCCCTGAGACTGGTGGTGTGGCAGGACCCATGTCCATACTGCACCCCCAGACAGAGGGGCTGTGCCTGTGGGGAGCTGTCCTGGGACATTCTACTTCTGAAAACTGTGCTTGGGAATTTTTTGGGAAAGTGTTTGCTGGCCCAGGCCAAAGCTGAACAAAGGCTGTTCGTTCCAACAGAGCCCAGCACTGCTCCCCAGCACCTTAAATTTCCTTGTATAGATGATGTAGCTAATCAGTTTTCATTGTGCACCAGCTGACAGAGCAGAGCACCAGCACTTCTGGTCACACCACAGTACATGGCAAAGCTGATGTCCATCCCCTGGCACAGGCTGTGATCTCTGTCTGGGCTCAGAAATACTGCCCACACCACACTCATCCTTACATCATTGGAAGGCAACCTTTGTTCTCCTAATCCCCATGACCCCTGCTCTCAAACATTTCCAAGCAGTTTTCCCAGGGGTACCTATTGCTGCCCTTGGCACGCTCAGAAGAATGTGGTTAGAAGGTAGCCCCATGCCTGGGGGCAGATTCCCAGCAGAGACTGTCATCAGTCCAGTAGGGAATAGTGACATCACCTTTAAATTGTAAATTATCTTTAGAATAAAACACAGCTTTGACAGATACCAGCCTGCTGGCTCTTCAGCAAGGCAGATTACAGGCTGAGGTCCAGAGCAAAGCCCTCAGCCTCTATAAATTAACACCAGCTCCACTGACTGAAAGAGTTTCAGACCAGAAGGGACCATTGGATCATCCAACCAGCTGAATATAAATCTGCCAAACCAGTGACCCTGTTACACAGGCACTGGCCCAAGAGCTCATTGACAGGGGTAGATTTGTGACCTGTGTCAACTGCTGCATTGAGGTGTGACAATCTGCTCTGGGCTTGCCAAAGGTTACATGTCCCTGTGGAAGACTTGGTGTATCTGAAACTGGCATCCCTGGGTGGGCTCTGCACATGCTCAGGGAGCCTGTGTCCTACCTCCTGCTGCCTTTCAACAGAAGGGTCTGGTCACCCTGTACAGAACCTACACCTAGTTTAAAATATAGGCAGATATTTATTGTGATGTTTTGAAATCTACATTGTACCTTTAAGCAGTGGGAGGGTAGAAAGCAGTTACCATTACCAAGACATGGGTTTTTGGCCCACAACACTGAGTTGTGTTAACATAGGTGCCACCAGAGAATGCTTTAAACCTCATCTACAGCTTCTACAAGAACTTACTGCAAGTCAGAAGGGAAGGACTCTACTTCAAGGAGAAGTACTACAGATGTGTCCGTGCAGATGAGCAGTCCATCTATCTCCACAACGTACGTTGACAAGAGCTGTGGCCATCCTGAGGAATCTGGAGACTTCCTCCATCCTTCTCTTCCTGCCTTGTTTTGTGAATCCTGTCACACAAGCACAAAACCTTCACATGCTTCTTTTCTTGCTTGCTTGCTTTTCCTCCCTTTCCTTCATTTCCTTCCTTTCCTTTCTCTCCCTTTCTCTCTCTTTTCTCTCTTTCTTCCTTTCTTTCTCTCTTCCTCTCTTTCTCTTTCCCCCTTTTTTATTTCTCTCTTTCTATTTCTCTTTCTCTCTCTCTCCATATCATCCTTCTCTCCACTCAAAAAGGTGAAGAATACAAACAAATGTCAGCTGTACATTAGAAATTGAAGGGATCACACTGTTCATTTCCCTGACACCAGCTGCAGTGCCTGTCCTGTTTCTCCATTGAATCAGTTCATCTCCCTAATGCAGAAAAATCTAGCACTTCATTTTTTTGCTGGGTTGGTGTCTTGACTCATTAATTAATTAACCAATTAATCAGGTAATAGAAGGGGCAGGCAAGCCCAGGGCCAGAATAAGGTGGCAGGAGTAGGTAATGGGGTGGGGGGACAGAAGAGACAGGGCTGAGCAGGACCTTTTTTGACAGCTCCCTCACCCTGTGGGACTCCAGCCTCAGTCACTCACCCATGGAATTCAGGAGCAGGACAGGGCTGCAGGCAGCCAGGCTCAGCAGGGCAAGTGTGTTTCTACTGCTGAGTCACACAATGGGAAATAAATACATCCAGCTGGTTGTTACTGGAGTCTCCTTAATCCTTCCTCTGCCCAGTAAATCCATCCTGACATGAGCTAAGCAACTTTTAGAAGAAGCTGAGCAGCTCTTAAACTTGGATCCTGTCTCAGAAAAATGCCACACTTAGCAATGTCTTTTTCCATTCCTTATTCCAAACAAGTGAGGCAGAGTTGGGGAGGCAGGGTTTGTAAAACACTGGGCACACTTACATGTAAATACTAGTTATTGTCTTTGCATTTAATAATGCTTTTTCATAGGACATGGAGCACTGGGATAAAAAATTCTTCACAATGCTGTGCAATAATGCATTAATCATTGGAAGTGAGAATATGCAACACATTAAAGTATTTGACTGACTTGCTTTAACAGCCAGCAGTCTTTAGAACATGGGCTGGCTGGCTGCATCCTGGCTTAGACTTTAAGACAGTGTTTGCCTTTTTTTCATCAAGAAAACAGGTATATTGGCAAAGAAAATGTCTGGGATGGGCCCATATTGTAAGGCAATATGTACACCTATGAATTTTTTTTAGAACTTTGTAACCTTATACTGTTTTCCCATCTTACCTAGCCAGATGGAGGCCTGATAGTTGTGAAGACAAAGCATTCGATCCTGGTTGCTACTTACAGAGTGGGCATGTATGCCAGTGTGTGTGTGGAAGCTGTGGAGAAACTAGGTGAGGGAGATACCTGTATCCATGTGCCTACATGTCAGTGTCTCCCCGATTAGCTCTGCCCTTGGAAACAGCTTCAAAAATCCATCTGATTAACAACAAAATCCTGAAAATCTGGGACACTGAACACAGACGTGGTTATGGCTCCACAGCTAAACCCTCTGCAGACATCACATCCCACTGTGTTTCAAAGCCTCTGTGGTTATGTCCAGCTTGCCAAACCCTCTCTCATTGGCCCTTCTATCTCAAGTTTCTGCTAGTTCCCCTTCAACAAAATGGTACCTGGCAGTTGCATTTTCTTGATGTCATACACCTAATGCACAGTCCTAGGCAGACTTCTGTAGAGCATCAGCTTTGATACTGTGTTTCTCAAGCCACTTCTTCACAGACACCTAAAATCTCTAAGGGTTTCAAAATTCCTCTCTCTGCCTAGTCTTCAAAGAAAGCTGGAGTCTCTTTCCTACCTGTCTTGAGGCACCATGAAGCTAGTGTCCTTGTCTCTCAGTAACAAAGTGCCTCTTCTCTAACAGCAGTGCCCATTTCCTTCCCTCTCCTGCCCAAGTTTCCTTTGTGGGAGTCCTCTGAAGTTCCTCACTGGGCTCAGTTTTTTAAAGACAGGGTTAACATTTCTTTCCTCCTCATCTGGGAATATTGCAAACCCCAGCCCTTTGCAGACCAGCTGCAGAATCCCATCTGCTTCTCAAATGTGTGGGGTGCTGGCAAGGACTCTTCATTGTCCTTGGTCTGGGAGATGAATAACAAGAGTTACACATCTTCATTTACAGCTGACTCCATACCTCCATACCAAGGATACAACCATCTTATTGAGTCATCCCAATGGATAAGATGCACAAAAGCAGACTCCCAGGATAGCCTTGATTTTCACCATAGGGGTAATTCTAAGGAATTTCAAAGGTATTTCTAAGGAATATTTTATAGGGCAGTAAGATCCAGCTTAACCTTTGGATATGCCCATCTCCTCTTACTGAATAGGAATGGAATGGTAGGCCCAGACCTCCTAGCATTTTTCCCTCATTTAGGTGCCTAAAAGTAAGTGGAATTAATTTGTGGTTTGGGGCATAAGCTATTTAGTCTGGAATGAGCTATAATATTCTCATTGAAACTTTTTCATCAGGCCAAGAACTGGGCCTTATATTTGAAGTTAACTTCAGACTAGTTTTCTCCTAGTATTTTTCTGCAGTGGTACAGAGGGAGCTGGAGCAGATCTAAAAGATGCCATCGTGATATTTATCCCCAAGCCTGTCCAGCTGGCTCAGCAATAAATTCAGGACCCATATCAGAAGTGTTGAAGGCCAGGTTGGATGGGGCTTGGACCAAACTGGTCTGGTGGGAGGTATCCCTTCTCATGTAGGGGGGTTGGAACTAGATGATCTTTAAGGTCCCTTCCAACCCAAACCAGTCTGTTATTCTATTATCACAGCTGTTACTGGCTTCTTTGCTGCCAAGGGAGAAAGGCAGAAACTGTAAACTTGTGAGACTTGCAAAGCCCTGCAATGATTTGCACACAAGTTACTTCATCTTGCAAACAGTCTCATTTTTTTTCATGGTTGGCCGCTGCTCCTGAGCAAAGTCTAAGGTCTAAGTGTTTCCAGAGCCAGATTCACTGCAGGTTTGACAATGTGTATTTTCTGGGATTTATTCTTGCTGTTCTGGATGATTTCTTCATGAAAAAAAAAAAACAACAACAATAACAGAACAGCTTTTCTTCACAAGTTGCAAGAGATTTCTGAAAATTATTTAAAGTGCTCAGTGTTTATTCTCTAGAACAGATAATACCTGGTGAATACAGGTATTGATATTTTTAATTTTCAGCTGGAAATACTGTCTTCTTTTGAGTACCATGTAGTCTGAGGTGGATTTGAACTTGAAAATAAGCATCTTCATTGCAGCTGTTCTGTATATAATTTTTATCATTGTTGGTTCTTCAATTTTTTAAAAATATATTTCCTTGTGTTATTCCAGCTGACTACTTGAGACAGAGAGGTAGCTGAATCAGCAGAAAACTTAAACCTCATCAAGCTCAGAACAAATGGTCATGGGGAAATAACGCATAGAAGTTTGAAGCAGTGTCCAATTTAAGCAAGAAACTGCTGCTTTAGAACATTCTGACTGCTGAGTTCCCTTCTGTTTTTTCAAGAACACTTGCTGGCTCCCTGATTATAACAGGACTATCAGGTCTATCATCTAAGCTTCTTCACTGAACTCAAACTGATGTCTTCAGTATTTGGTTTGAGATGCTCTGCTTAATCTGTCTAATGTTGTTTTTAGGCTGTTTCCAGCTATGAAAATTATTTTTCTGCCTAAGCAAAGTAAGTTCTCTACTAGCATCACAGACTCAAGGGACAAAGGAAACAGCTACATCAACAGATTTTAAGGTTGTTCTCTACATCTTGGACTATTACAAATAAAACACATTTTGAACACGTTGACATTTTGCATTGCCACTGACTGCAACAGAAAGTTCTTTTAAACTGTAGTGGATTGCAAAGTTCTGTGAGGATGGGGGAGGAGAAGCAACACCCCTGCCAGGTTTGAATCAGACCGGCATTTAACACATCAAAGAATCCACATTTGAGTGAACCCATTATTGGACAGGGGACAGCTGAGGCTCTGAAAAGCAGGCTCAAGACAACCAGTTCCCCATGATCAGTTCCCATCTGCAGAAACAAAGAAACCATTAGCTCTTTCAGCCACGTGAGAACAAACTATTTTCAGCTGTGTTTGATTCTAATTTAGTTCAGTTTCAAAGAAGAGGTGAACAGCCTGAATTAAAGAAAATCTCAAAATCCATAGGAAAAAAATCCACAGAAGGATCCCATAGAGGAGATGGGATTTGTCACTGTAAATACTCTGAAGTGTCAGTTTCATTCCCTGACAACTGCAATGCTCAAGATGCCGACAGGGAGATGTGATCTGATCCTTCTCCCTCTGGGGGAAACAGCAAAGCCGCAGGAAGAGGAGCGATCAGGCAGCTGGAACAGAAGCTCCAGAGCAGGGAACCCTCCCCGTGTGCCGGGGGAGCAGGGAATCTCCTCCCCAGCGCCACAGGGCGAGCTGGGCTTCTGCCTCTCCCCGTGCCATCAGCCAGCTCGTTGGGAAGCAGCACTGCTGAGCTGCACGGACATCCCTGCCCCTGCTCCTCTCCTTCCCTCCAACATCAGACACAACCTCGCCCCGTCCCCCCCGCGACTCGCTGGGGAACGGCTGATGGGCAGGGCTGGGAAACGAGGAACTGGGATCAGACTTTACTCCCGGGGTCAGGCTGGGTTGGTTCCTGGGGGGGGTAAATCCCACATTGTGCTGGGAACCGCGTGGCCTCCCTAAAGTGTCGTTTTGGGGCCGCTGCTGGAAGATCTGACGGGCTGAGGTCGTTGTGCTGAGACACTTGGTTTGCAGCTCCTGCGGTTTGCTGTGCATTGAACAGCAAGGTAGGTATTTTTGGGATCTGTTTCTAGCAACTAAGAGCATTTATACAAATGCAGGTTAGTGGGCTGTGTTGGAAGAGGGACAAAAGGTTCTTTCACATCTGATTTTTTATTGACTACATTTAGACAGGAAGAGAGCAGAAGCATTTCTTAGAGGGTACTGTCTGGTGGGCTTCCCGCTCAGTTTCTGTGCTAATACAGGCACATCTTGTGGGACTGGTTGGCTGAAAACAACGAAACAGCCTCTGAAAGAAAAGCCTGTCAGTTCCATTTCACACGAACAACTGGGAAGCGTTTATTCACCTTAACATTGCCCCAGAGCACCACCCTGTGGGGATCCACATTGCTGGAGTTAAAAGATGTTTCTCACTCTGCATTCGCAGTCTTACCTTGAACAGCAAGGTAGGTATTTAGACTCCCACTGTATTTTAAAAACATTTTTTGGGATCTGTTTCTAGCAACTAAGAGCATTTATACAAATGCAGGTTAGTGGGCTGTGTTGGAAGAGGGACAAAAGGTTCTTTCACATCTGATTTTTTATTGACTACATTTAGACAGGAAGAGAGCAGAAGCATTTCTTAGAGGGTACTGTCTGGTGGGCTTCCCGCTCAGTTTCTGTGCTAATACAGGCACATCTTGTGGGACTGGTTGGCTGAAAACAACAAAACAGCCTCTGAAAGAAAAGCCTGTCAGTTCCATTTCACACGAACAACTGGGAAGCGTTTATTCACCTTAACATTGCCCCAGAGCACCACCCTGTGGGGATCCACATTGCTGGAGTTAAAAGATGTTTCTCACTCTGCATTCGCAGTCTTACCACCACTAATTTAGTATGCACTTAGCTTTTCCTGTGCACACAGCATAGTGCAAGCAGTTTTACAGAGGGCATGTTGGTCTGTCACACAGTGCTGCTTATTTAGGTGCAGAGGCTCCAGCTTGCAGCCCACCCTGCACGTGTCTTTGGGTGGCACCCCCATGTCATACTGTAGTACTAGCTCTTGGGAAGTAACACAGTTGGCCCCATTGATATTCTCTCCTCCTTTCCACCCAGCACCCTGGGGGCAGAGGGAAGACTGCTCTAGATTTTATTTTGCCAGGCTGGAGGAGGCTTAACATCTCAGCCCATCTCAACAACCACTGGTGCCAAGAGCAAGGAACCCAGGAACAGCATCTGAGGCTCTTGCAGTGGTGGGACCCTCCACCAGAGCCAGCAGGCACACATTAATCACCTGCTGAGGCAAGGGGAACAAATAGGAATTTTAAAAACCATTTTCTATCTTTCATTCTCACTAACTCACCACTGTGCCTTGGTGTATCTTCAAGTTGCCACCTGAGGGCTGCATGATAAGGCAGCACTTACATGAATAGAGATGTGTCCAATAAAGGCTCTTTCTGCTGAGGGTTTTAAAATCCCATTTGTGTAAACCACTTTAAGGGCCCGTGTCCTTTAGTCAGTTGAGCAATGGGGCCTTAATCATACAGGAAGCTGGAAGCAAAGGATTTTATTTTCATTTTCAGGTTACCTGTTACAGTTCAGGTCAGTGCTGCTGGACTCAGGCACAGCTCTTTGCATGGTTATTGATGCAAGGGTTTGTCAGATGGCTTTTGCAATGATACCTTGTCCCAAAGCTGATGTATTTCATGGTAACTTTTTCTGGCAGCCCTCCCCTCTTCTACCTCTGAACTGCCTCAGAGGTTGCATTGCCCATCTGCAGAGGGGAATCTGTGGAGCTGTGGTTACTGAGCACTGGGATGTTCCAGCTGCACGTCAGTGTCCCTCCATTCATCCTGGGTTTTTGGTTTTGGTTTGTTTTGTGTTGGTTTTTTTTTCAGAGAAAATGTTGGCAGCCTATTTTGATTGCCCAGGAGGCCCAGAAAATCTCTGTGTAAAAGAAGTGATAAAACCAGAGCCAGGAGAAGGAGAAGTTCTTGTGAAGGTCTCTGCCAGTGCCCTGAATAGGGCCGATTTACTCCAGGTATGCGTATGTTAAGCACATTTATGGATCTGAAAACAATAACAATTTTTCAAGGCCCTATCTGAAGTCTTGACAAATCTGAAGAATTAAAAGAGATTGGACCTGGTGAGCATTTGGATGGGAGAATTCACAAGGCTGAAAGATGTCTGTTGATTCAGCACATAAATGTTTTTATCTGGGTCACTGCTATGCTGGGGTGGCACAGAAAGCCAGCTGCCTTTCCAGAAAAGATGTGAAGCCAAAGCTCTGGTCTTTCCAGATGCTTAGACCATTCTCTAGGCATTTGAGATGAACATTAAATGTTCCACTGGCTCAATTCCAGCATGGGAAAACCACAATCAAATTATTAAGTCTGAGCTGTTATTTAATTTGGGCTGAAAGCCACACTCTGCATCTGGAGACCATAATACTTCCCCAGCTTGGATTGGCCTGGACAAGGGGGACTCACGACAAATTGAATTTGCACAGAGTTTTAAGAATAAAACCTACTTAGGATATGAGAAGTGTTGCCAAAGGACAGAAGATCCTCAAAATACTGTAACATTTGCAGTGCAAAATCAGGATGAAATAAACAGGAAATTAGGTTGGAGGCGAGCAAAACATCAGTCATGACACTCATTGATATGTGGCTTTTCCTTCCTTGCCCACTCTTTTCTTCTGTTTTAGAGGAGAGGGAAGTACCCTCCCCCCAAAGGAGCAAGTCCTATTTTAGGCTTGGAAGCAGCTGGGAGCGTGGCTGGGCTCGGACCTGGCTGCAGGGGGCGGTGGAAGGCTGGCGATGCAGTGATGGCTCTGCTCTCCGGAGGTGGCCAGGCGGAATATGTGACAGTCCCCGAAGGCCACCTGATGGCAATTCCCAGTGATATGACATTCACTGAGGCTGCAGCCATTCCCGAAGCCTGGCTAACAGCCTTCCAGCTGCTGCATTTTGTAGGTGAGAGCGGCATTTGCAGACCTATCCCACCAGAACAGGTTGTCTTCCTTTCTGTTACGAATTCTTCTGCTTGCCTTTCTCTGTCACTCCATTCACATGGGTCAGAATGGGATATGCCAGACCCAGATCCTGAAATCTTGACCACACCTCCCTCATCACAATTTACGCTGCTGATTGGATAATTACAAGGAATGATATGGCAAGATGGTCACTTTTTATCTATATTTCTCAGCTTGAATGGCGATTTCCATGATGCCCAAACCCTGAAATAACTGACATGTTCTCAAAAAACCCTGAAACCTACTTGTAAAGATTTGACTTTGCTGCAAGGATGAACACATTATGAACTTTCTCACTAACTGCCTGTGGATCTACAGTAGGCAGCCCTGTCTCTTGACATTAATTGTAGGTAAAATCCCTTCTGAGCTGATTTTAAACAGACATAAGCTCACACTCTTCGTTTTGAAAATGTGATACAGAGGCAGTAACACTAGCACTTGCTAGGGTTTTCCTCAGTTGACAAATACATCTTCAGCAGTAGCACCTAAAAGCTCCACTAAAAAACAGGGGTTACAAACAAGTAACTTTCTTCTGCACCAGAAATGCAGACTTGCTTTGAGCAGCGTTGCCTACCCGGGGTTGGTGGTCAATAAGGACCAGGACTCTCCAGTGCCTCAATTCCTCTAGGAATCAGTGGAGCACAAATGAATGCAACCCTGTGATAGAAATGTGATGGAGAGCAGCCCTGCAGAAAGGGGCTTGGAGGTACTGGTGGATGAAAAGTTGGATGAGCAAACAACTTGTGCTCGCAGCCCCGAGGGCCGATGGCACCCTGGGCTGCACCAAAAGCAGCGTGGTCAGCAGGGGGAGGGAGGGGATTCTGCCCCTCTGCTCTCCTCTCTGGAATACTGTGTCCAGCTCTGGAGCCCTCAGCACAAGGACATGGAGCTGTTGGAGTGAGTCCAGAGAAGGGCCATGAAATGATCAGAGGGCTGGAGCAGCTCTGCTATGAGGACAGGCTGGGAGAGTTGGGGTTGTTCAGCCTGGAGAAGAGAAGGCTCCAGGGAGACCTTAGAGCATCTTCCAGTGCCAGAGGGGGCTACAGCAAAGCTGGGGAAAGGCTGTTTACAAGGGTATGAAGTGATAGAACAAAGGGCAATGGCCTTAAACTAGAGGTGGGTAGATTTAGGTTAGACGTTAGGAAGAAGTTCTTCGGTGTGAGGGTAGTGAGACACTGGAACAGGTTGCTCAGAGAGGTGGTGGAAGCCTCATCCCTGGAAACATTTCAGGTCAGGCTGGATGGGGCTCTGAGCAACCTGATCTAGTCAAAAGGTCCCTGTGCACTGCAGGTGGGGCTGGACTAAATTACCTTTACAAGTCCCTTCCAGCCCCACATGTTCTAAGATGACATGATTCCATGAACCAGTAGATGGTAAAATGTTAGGTTAGAACTGGTCCTTAAGGTTACCAGCACTTCTGGTGTTTCTCCAATGTTGAGTTGCCTGATTTCTCAGTATTCATACCCTCCCAGTGTGTCTTCTGTTGGTGGCAGTGGGTGGTCCTGCTATAAAAAGGCTGACTGCACTTACCTTGCAGCTGGGTCACAGATGCCCAGAACTGGGCAGGGCCAAGCTAAAGTCATTCCACTGAAGTCATGGAGTCCTGTCAGACCACTGCAAGCTGTGTTAGTTCTGGATTTGTTTTTTGAAGGATATGAAGATGTAAACAAAGCCCACTCAAGGGAATCTCTTGCAGCTTCCTCTTGATTATTTTCCACCCTGATCATGTCTGAATCCCCAGGTGGTGCCAGAAGGGTAACCATTTCCCTCATGTCCTGCTCCAGGTAAAGTGCAGAAGGGTGAGAAAGTGTTGATCCATGCAGGAGCTAGTGGAGTTGGTCTGGCAGCCATTCAGCTGGTGAGACTGGCCCAGGCTGTCCCCATGGTGACAGCAGGAACCCAAGAGAAGCTGAGAGCAGCAGGAAAGGCTGGAGCAGCTGTGGGCTTCAACTACAGGCATGAAGATTTCAGTGAAGAGGTCCTGGCATTCACCCAAGGTAAGAATCTCTGTGTGGAAGAAGGTGACAGGTGAGCAGGATCCTGCAGCTCCTAGATCTGCACACACCCTCGAGCTGCCACCTCTGCTGGTGAAGGAGGGGACTCCATGACCCTGGCAGCACAACCCAAGATCCTCTTCAGCCCCCAGTGTCTCTTCCCTTCATCTGACTGTGCTCTGTTCTCTGCATGGGCTCTCTTTAGCTTTGTGTTCATTTGGGGCATAAATATTGTGCCTGTGGTGCTGCTGCCTCCACAAGGAACTGTGGGACCAAACCCTCACCCTTTGAAAGTGTTTGAATGTGGGAACAAAACTTGGTTCTCTTACTCTTAGAAGAGGTTTGCTTTTCTAAGCATTTGGGATGGTTTATGACAGAGTCTTCATCTGGATATCTATGATGATTATTTTTTGGTGCCAGATCCTAGAATTCCTTACAAATCAACGTGCCAATTCCTCATTTCAGTAGATAGATTGAAATAAGAATTGCAGGATAGATTCTATACCTATAAAGGTTTTAGTTATGCCTGAAATTATCCCACCTTTAATGCAGCTCGACCACATTGCTGAAATCTTTTCTGTTTCTCCTTGAGGTTCTGGAGCAGATATTATTTTAGATTGTGTTGGTAGCTCATACTGGGAGAAGAATCTCAACTGCCTGAGCACTGATGGCAGGTGGATTATTTATGGCCTGCTGAGTGGAGGTGAAGTACATGGAGATCTGCTGGCAAGGCTGCTTTCCAAGAGAGGGAGCATCCACACAAGTCTGCTACGGTCAAGAGACAAGGAGGCAAGTCCTGGCTCCCAACAGTCCATGCAGCTTGATCTTCAAACTGATGGTCATTTTGAGAGCTTTATATTGAGAGCAGGGTCAAACAGAACTTTATGCATTATTACCAACAAAAAAATCTTGAAATGTTACTGCATAGTTTGGAAAACATTGCAAAGTGAAGGTATGGTTTCCCTTTTAGAACTACTGACTCAGAGGAATGATACTTCCTCACATTTGGCCTGAGAAGAAACAAAACTGAAGTGATCAGGCAATTTGGTCATGTCTCAGAAAGAACCCCTCTCTTAGATAATTTTTTCAAAGTAGAGACCAAGGCCCTGTGGAAGCCCAGAAATTACTGAGGCAAAAAAATCACTTTATGTGTTTTAATTCTCAGATACTACAATAAAAGACAGCAGTGTCTTTTTTTTTCTGTCCATGGTCTAATGCTTAATATTCTCAATAATTTTATCAGTTTGAGTTGAAATGGTTCTGCATTGAGCTTTTACCACTTGTGTTGGAGAATTTCATTGAATTCTTCTTTGTAATTTACAAAGTTTGTCAGAGGTCCCCATGTCAGAGGTTTCCATGTCAGAGGTTCCCATGTCAGAGGTCCCCATGTCAGAGGTCTCCATGTCTGCCTCACTACAAAAATGTCAGAAAGTGTCTCCTTGAGAACTGCACATTTTGCATGCTGTGCTTAGAGAATCCTCTGTGAGTGACCTGCTTGGAAACTAAACTTAAACATGCTTTTTTCCTTCAGTACAAGGAACGACTGGTGAAAGCCTTCACAGAGGATGTGCTGCCGTATTTTTCTGGAGGAACCTCCCCTCGTCTCCAGCCACTGGTTGGCAGTGTCTTCCCTCTGCACCTGATTGCCCAAGCACACAGGTTAATGGAAGAAAACAAGAATATCGGCAAGATTGTCATTGAAATGCCTGATTCATCTTAAATAAAGACCTGCTGCTGTTGTTCCTTCAGGGACAGGACAGTTTGGGGCATCTGATGAGCAGAGGATCTGCCTCCAAATCCAGGGTGGCTTCTTGTGTCAGGACACCTAAAGCAAAGCCTGGATGTGTTTAATAAAGACTTTCTGCAGCTCTAGTCTCATGCCTTGAGCCGTTGTGTTGATGATGCTGATTATCATCCTGGCTGAGGAGAGAACTCAGGAGAAACGTTTGTGGCTCCAGGGAACAGGCCCGAATGGATCCTTCAGCCCAGCACAGGTTACTGACACTCTTGCAGGAGTGGGTGACCTAAGCAAGCAGGCACACCCCCAGCAAGGTGAATAACGGTTTATACTCCCTGTTCCCAAAGCTCCCTCCTGTTTCCCGGGCACTCCAGGGTTTCCAGCCCATCCCAGCCTCTAATGATCCCGTGAGTTCTGCCCCTGCTCACACACCCCGCTCTAGCAGGGTCACTTGTTACCTCCTAAGGCACAATCCCGACCTCCCCTGCCCCCCTGGCTGCCTCCCCAGCACCACAGCGTCACCGGGGCGGGCGGGGCTCTGCTGGGCCTCACCTTGCCCATCGCTCCCGCTCCGTGTCCGGAGCCCAGCCCAGCCCCTCGCTTTCCCGGG